AGAGAGAGAGAGAGAGAGAGAGAGAGAGAGAGAGAGAGAGAGAGAGAGAGAGAGAGAGAGAGAGAGATTTTGACTGATTAAATTCTCCACCCCCTGTTGCAAAACTGTCTTCAAATGCCCCACTGTAACAAGAAATTAAGCGTTCAAATGCCCCACCTTCATATGAAAATTATGAAACAGTAAATACAAAAAGTTCAAAATATACGGAAATGTTTTTCGACAAGATAGCGAAATTCACGGAGGGTTTAAACTGCAGGTTGCAAGTGTGCAGGTTGCAGGTGTGCAGGTTGCAGGTGTGATATTCTAGTACAAAATCAAAACTTGACATTCATGAAAAAGTGTGAAGCACGCATAAAATTTTATCTTAGCTAAGTTTGAATTCTCTTTTATAATTGATTTTGTCACTCTTTGCGAGAAACGTCCGCCATATTTAATTCTTAGGTCAAAAACACCTGATATCCCCTATTATCAATAGTTTTCCCCATACCGCCAAAACATGTGATCACAGAGTAGGTACCACTGATATACAGTAGGTACACAGTAGGTACATAGTAGGTACATTGTAGGTACATAGTAGTTACATAGTACCTACTCTGTGATCACATGTTTTGGCAGTATGGGGAAAACTATTGATAATATGGGATATCAGGTGTTTTTGAGATAAGAATTACAGTATGGCGAACGTTTCTAACAAAGAGTGACAAAATCAATTATAAAAGAGAATTCAAACTTAGCTAAAATAAAATTTTATGCGTGCTTCACACTTTTTCATGAATGTCAAGTTTTGATCTTGTACTAGAATATCACACCTGCACCTGCACACCTTCAACCTGCAATTTGAACCCTCCGCGAAATTCACGTAAAAAGTTTGGATACCTTGAGGAAATTTAACAGTTTTACACAATTTTGTAGTACATACCTTCAAATGAAGCACATAGGTTTTCCATGCCCGTTTCTTTGAGCCAGTTTTTCACTAAATTGAGGCCGTTCCCCTCGAAATCTAAGAAAACTGTATTTGCCGCCAATGCGAAGTGTTTTCTGTGCATGCAGGAAGCACGCGAAAACGGGCAAAATTTTAAGACTTTCGGTTCAAATTCCCCACCCCGTTAATCCGTTATCAAATGCCCCACCACATGGAAGACCTAGAACGTCAAATTCCCTACTCCCTGGAGAAGACTTGAAGTCAAATTCCTGGGGTATGCCCGGGGGGGGGGGGTGTAAAGTTTCGAATTGATCGATACATTACAAGCTCTGTTTACTTTGTGAATGTTCGTTTTTGCCAGTTAACGTATTGAGTCTAAAAAGTTGATCATGATTGCTCAATACACAGATTAATCTGCATTTATTTTGCACTTATTTTGCATATTCGTATTCATTCAATCATTCTGAAATATCTTCTCAATCCGAGTGTCAGTGAACTCTATAATATCCAGTGAACTGTATATATAGATTATAGAATGTATATTTAATTTCCATTCCAAATTATGTTACTTCAGATAACATCTGGTCATTGGAACCGTAGTAGCAAAATGTGTCTATGGCCCATATTTGTGGTGGAGTCAATTGAGGCATATACACAAGCATAAAGTCATTGGGATTTATGTGCTGATTTATACAGTTACACCAACAAGTCGTGCCATCCTGACAGCTCAAAATATTCTATGGATTGTTACTTCAAAAAAATATAGACAGAAATGGATAATTGTTGAGAAATGACATTTAAAGAGAGATTGACTTTGGAACTTCTATTCCTCTGTTATGTCAGAGGCAAGACACTATGGGCCATTCTATTTAATGTCCAACCCCCCATGGATGGATTTTTCTGAACGGTGACTACATTTGAAGTTGTTTCTGAGAGGTTAAGCCTGTCGGCATCCTTGATCTCTGCAATTTTTCTAAGGGGTATTGGGGAAAATTTACACATTTTTGAGGGTTTTGTGGGAGTTAAAATTTTACTGACCTCATCCATGGGAGGGGGGGGGGGGATATTAAATGGAATGGCCCTATATTGACATTAACATGAACAGTTGTGACTCCTGTTTCTTTTGTTGAACATGGTTGTACATAACTTAGTCAGGTTGTTAGTGCTGTCCTTCAAACTCCTCTGTTCAACTACATGTACTTTTCAATTTTCTTTCTTTCAGATTGTATTGTCAAACCCTGTAACGTTCTATGTAAGAGAAGTCTGACATATTTTCCAGTCCTATTTCTTTAAAAAAATGCAAATTGCGTGCCTGTCTGTGCTCAAGACATGTACTTTTATGTTCATCGTCATTTCCGTCTATGTGTCTGTTTACTTCTACCGTGTGTGTCTTGTATGTTTGTATTTTGTGCACTTAGTCCACATGTCTTTTTCTTCATTCTCTTCTTCCGTCTCTTCTTTCTTCTCTTCTTTTAATTTGCGTATGTTGAATATGTTAGTTTGTAAACTTGAAATAGTTTTTGTTCAGTCAGTTTTTGAAGTGTTGTAATCTCAATTTTTGAAATGAAATAAATCGTACATACAGTGTTTCTTTGTATGGGTACCAAGGCCTCCCAGAGAATTTGCGGGGCTCAGGACAAATCTTCCCTGGGGGCCCCATTAAATCATTATTTCTAATTAGCTAGACCCAACTAGACCTTAACTAGACTGCATGTCGAGGTACTGTAAGGGGCCCTAAATTTCAAAAATTCTCTGACGAATTTAAAGAACCTACTCAAATTTAGGCTTTCGCTCTCAAGTTGGGTCCCTATTAAGGTGGAGCCAGGGCATTCGGCCAATTCCCCCCTCCCCCCCCGTTTTGGTTGCCCTGATGGGTACATGTAAATGTATTTTAAGCCAAATGAAAATAATTTTGTATTTAGTTTTCAGATATATTTGAGGTTTCAGTATTTGCCTGTGGATCCAAAGCAGCACTTTCCTTGCGATAGTAACCCCTAGTAACAAGTAATTAGTAATTTAAAATTACTATTCAAGGAAAGTAATTTGAAAATCTGTAATAATTGCCTTTTTGGAGAAGTAATTGTAGTTTTCCCCTATACTTTTTAAATTTTTACAACACTGATACGTCAGTCCAACAGGTCACCAAATTTACCATTTATATTTGCATGGCAAATCAACTAAAAATTCTGCTTCTTCTGGTGTATTTTCTCGTCCCAGAGAGGCATTTCTTTGTGGATACCGACCGAATCTATCAATGACCTCTTTATGATTCTTTGCTCCCTTCAACGTATTCTCTCCTGCTTTCTTCTCATCTGGTGTTTTTGCATCCTCGGCGAGTCGTGTAAACAGTTTCACCGAGAGCTCTTGGTTGGCTCGATCCTCGCTGTGCATAAAGGGTAGGTATATAAACATACGCTCGAAGAACGAGAAGGCCAAATGGTTGTGGGTCTTTTGCTGCAGAAATTTCTGAGCTATTTCCAATGCAATCGGGTCGAGTCCGTTCATTCGCTTCGTACCCTTGTTCACATTTCGACAAAATTGATCACAGATTAGGATCAAAGCTAGACTTGCCCTCGGTTCGTCTTTCCATTCCTCTAGCTTGCCTTCGAAAGCAGCCTCCACTAAATCTCCATATTTTTGTCGAATTTCAGTATTCGCTTCTTCTGTGCCGCCACACCATTTTACATGACCTGGTCTGAACCAAAAATCGATGATTTCTTCGATTTTGTTTGACATATTCGAAGCGGATATTTCCTTTGTAACAGTGGCGTGCGGCAATTTTTTTTCCGTAGACAGTCGGACTCCTCATTGATAGTCGGACGCATCATTGATCCGCGTCCAGGCCTCCGCGCGTTATCAATGAATCCCTTCGTAACCAACTGGTGCACCATATATCCATCACTCCACATTGTTCTTTTTCGACCACGTGTAGAAAGATGAACGATTTACTTCGCAGTTCTTCGCGATGCCATAATAAATCTACAAACTTTGTTTTTCTGGTTCCGAAAATACTCAAGAACGGTTATTGCGAGTTAAAACTATATATCATCCCTTTTGAAGAGAATCAGGATAAGATAACTAGCGTGCGAGGAAATAGTGGAAAATTCAAAGCGACACTAATCAATACCACTTTTCACAAATAGAAGTATTGCAGAATACCCTGTGTACGGAATACATATCATGTAGCCCGGCCACTATTTCACTGGATACGTATATACCAGATCTTATTGCCTTGTTCTAATATACAAGTTGAAACTAATTACTAAGACAATATTACGAATTGATACTATAAAGGAAATATCATGGAAGACTTTTAATGTTTAATATTATGCTTAGTATGTTTTATAATATAAAATATTCACCCAGCGACGCTAATTAATCATAATCTGTCAAACACCAATGTCCAGTTGTGAGGAACATATTTGCATATTACACCACATTTAAGCTCTCTATAGCATGAGAATTTAATCTATTACCATAGAATAAAGATCCATATAGAAGGGCCACTCAGGGGTGCAACGTGTCCTCGTTTTTTTATGCAAAAATATGCAGTTTACTGGCCAGAAGGCGGAGCAGCCAGCCAGTACAGCGTGTTTATTGGCCAGAAAATGTCATTGACTGGCTAGGAAAATGGCGGCCAACATGCGTAATGCGACATGCGCGAGGACAGAAACTTCAAAGCTTCCGACGTAAGTGGCCCTTCTATATGGATCTTTATTCTATGCTATTACTGCCAACTAATTACTGCCACGCATTCGCGTATCCACTAATATATAGAGCCACCTATAGCGTGAGAATTTGATCTAATGCTTTAAATCTAACTGTATGCCTCGTTCTCAAAATAACTACTTGACTGCGTATCCGCGTATCCACTAGAATAGAGCTACATATGACAATTTAATCTATTAATGCTAATTGCTAAGTCACTATATGCCTCTCGTAGCTACCTTTACCGGGCCACCATCTAATTATTAATCTATTGAGAAAAAATGTAGATGTATTAATACATCGTATCCATGATTTTTGAAAGGCATAGCTTAAAAAGTGGATTGGTATTCTGCAATGCCAATCGCTCCTGTCGGATGTCATCACCACACAAGGTATGAAGCCACAATGTGTCCTGCTCAGATTTTGACATCTCAACCAAGCAATACTGATTTTGAAATCGAGCGACGAGTATCCGCTGAATATTTTGTTTAAGGGCGCGGGCCAATGATGCGTCCGACTATCAATGAGGAGTCCGACTGTCTACGGAAAAAAAATTTGCTGCGGCGAAAGCTATTTATATACCCAAGCTAGGCAGCTGGCTCGTTTCCGGCGTATGAACAAAAGCTTTTTGACAAAAAGTGAATTTTATATGACTTAACAAAGGGAATGCGGATCTTACTCACTTACAAGCCAACTCTCTAACTCAAGAACTGAATAAAGACAAAGTATAAACACGAGCCAACCAAGTGACAAAATCTGATTTCAACGCTTGTTTGATACTTTGATTAATACCAGCAATAGTTGTTTTCTAAAATTATTCATTCTTTTGCGTGGTGGTCGCGTATCACGTGAAAGTTTCAGTGAAACTGTTGTAAAAATGCTCACGCGTATTGTACGCGTAAAAATCTCGCATTTTGTAGCAAGTCTGCCAGCAATCAACAAGTTCTGTTTCTGTTTGCACTGCTTGTCCCAAGTTGTCAACAAGTTTGGATCAAGCCGTTAACAACTTGTAACAACCTTGTTGATATCGCCAGATCTATTGCAGGGTTGTTCCAACAAGTCATATAACAATATTGTCACAACCCTGTGTCGTCATGCAACTTTGTAACGTTATCAGAACAACCTTGTACTCTTGTCCCTTGTTGTTGTATTACGTTTGGAACAAGCTTTATGGCATTATCGGACTTGTTACAAGTCACAAGACCGACAAGCAGTGCAAACACAACTTGTCGACAGCTTGTGAACAGATTCGTAAAAACTTGTTTGCAGACCTGTAACAACTTGTGCGCATTTTATACGTCTGCACCTGCGTAAACTGCGTTCATATTCTTATTCCACATTTCAAATATTTATTCAACTTCTCCAGTAATTTTATTCGCGACCAAAATTGCGTCGATTCTTCTGTTGCAAATTACAAGATGGCTTCCAAAAAGAACGCTGACTAAACTTTTCATGTTTTATTTGTAGTTTCTGAAGTGTTTGCGGCTTTTCCTTTCACCAAAATGGTAGAGAATGTGAACTTTAGTTCTGACGTTGTCGTTTTTGAAGACTTAAGTGCTTGCAACGCGAAATTATGTGAAGAAATGAAGAATTATTCGTATGAAATAATTGTTTTGGGACTTGACTGCGAATGGGTGAGTCGGGAACGGCAAGGCGAAAGCCCAGTTAGCCCCGTGGCTTTGCTTCAATTAGCTTTCCCAAACGGCACTTGCTTCTTATTACGGTTGTGTAAAATGGAAGCACGGCTGCCTGATAAACTAAGGGAAATTTTAGAAGATAGAAATATCTTGAAAAGTGGAGTTGGAATCAGTGAAGATGCAAAAAAGTTGAACACTTGTTATGGTTTGGTTATGCAAGGCTGTGTCGATTTAAGACATGTGGCTTTAAGATGTCAAGGATATGTTGAACATTGCATTTCTGAGGGTGGCTCCAGGTAAGTTGAACAAGCTCTCGTTGGTAGGGATGCAACTACCTGAAAAATGTAAAGAGAATTTTGAGCGAATGCCCTTTGTCCTAACTCCAGATGAATGGCCGTCGGGTAGTTGCATCCCTACTGGTCAACAAAAGCTTGTTCATATGTTATTGCCACTTACACTGGCAGTTCAGTTCCAATTTACATGCACTCTCAATCCAGTATGTGGAAATATAAGGGGAGGGGAGGGG